TAAACAATCATTGAATGCAATTACCAAACATATTTTTATTAAGGAAAATTAACAAACGGCAAGCTATTTTTTGAACATGATATGTAAATTTCAATAACAATTCAAATGAATAAATGAATGAATGGCAAGCAATCAAACATAATACAAAATAAAGCAGAAACAACAAAAAGCACAGATTCAAGGAAAACGCTACCTATCATGAAATTAGACTTTAATAACTTTCAAAACCATAAAAATCCTTTTCACTATCATCATCATCGAAAACGAGAATATCGTCATCACTACTGTTTGAAATGGGCATGGCCTGTCATGACCATAAGACCAACTTGTTTGGTTAGGCGGGTCTGGCTGCGCCTGATACTGATACTGATCACTACTGTTTCCGTGATCGCTAGTATCACCTTCTTCGAATAATGAGTCGTTTTCTGTTTCATCAAGAGCATTATTGATTCCACACTTCTTAAAGGACTTAACAATTACTTCAGCCTTTACAGCCTCCCAAGATCTTTTTACTCTCTCGCACACTTGTGAAATAGAGGGCCGCTTCATTCTACCTGAGGGTGTGACGGTGTGATGTGGCTCTCCTATCCACTTTTTTCATCGTTCTCGCATTCTTTCCTTAAATGGCATATTCACCGATACATCTAAAGGCTGCAATTGGCTAGTCAGTCCACCAGGAATGACAGCTATCTGGGTTTTTAATCCTCTCGCTTTATTCTTTATGGTTTCAGTTCTATGGGCGCTAAACTGATCCAAGCAAAAAGAGCAAAGGAGGGTTTTCTTAAGAGTCACCAGGTTCGCTCCAGCCCATACGTTCTGTAACCACAGTTTCATTCCAGCTTCGTCCATCCAGCCTTTCGGATGAACATGAACAATTACACCCGGATGAACATGAACATCCCTTTCGGATGAACATGAACAGTTTTTCCTTCGGATGAGTTTTTCTTTTGAATATGAAAAACGACGGTAATTTTGACCGACACGTGTGTCCGCCGAGTCAAAGAATATCTATGTAAAGAATGAAAGGCTCCATAGACGTAATGTGACCGTCGAACCTGTTCGAACTTCGACATCAGCTTCGAGCTTTGGCGCTTTTTGGTGACAGATATGTCACGCATGCTCAAAATAATTATGGCAGATGTAGAAAAAGTTATGTGTGTCTAGACCTTTATCCGGGTTAAAAATAGCATTCAGTATTGAAAGTTAACCTGTGTCCTTCACGTATAAGACGCAGATAACTTTTTTGAGACCAAATTTAGGAAAAAAAGTGCGTCTTATATGCCGTCAAATACAATATTTAGCGGAGAAATCTGAAGAACGGCTGCAGTCTATTCCCCCCCTCCTCTCCTCTTTTTCAAGTTACGCTAGTTATTCGCCAATTTTCAAGTATGCGGGTAGTTAAGCTTTTACTGTTAAAGGATGACTGCATGAAGCAAATTTCTGTCTTCTGCTTTCAGAAATGTTCCTCTTTTTCACTTAAATTACTTTGCTTGCAATATCTGTTAAGGGAAAACTGATATACGATGAAAATTTAGAAAATGTTCAGAATTTAGATTTAAATTAGTTAAATATCAATATGAGTGGAAAATAAAATTGTATTTTATTATTAAGTTCCAAGCGAATAGAATAAATGCCTTATATATTTATCTATTTTGAACTTTTATCCTAAATCTTTAATATAGTTTAGTTTGCATAGTTTTTTCTCATGTAAAAGTGTAAAGAATGTTTTAAATTAAAAAAAGTATGTATTTTCCATGGCTCTCTCATCTCTCTTATAAACGAATTCGAATTTTAAATACAAGTTGTAAGGATCTTAAGTTTTACTAACGTTTATTTTATTTTAAATCTTTACTATCACTTCTTATTTTCTACTTCCGGCCAGAATTATAAGCGTTAAGGTTTTTATGCAAAGTTTGTCTGGCGAACGCCAAGTATTTAAGTTGTGGCCTTTTTGCCAAGCGAGAGAGAGGAAGCAGTGAGTCAAAGCAGGCCGCTTACCTTAGAAGTTACGTTGCTGTTTGCCTTCCAGGCCAGAGGTTTTAATCCTCTTGATAAATTTAAACGTATTGTAGTGTTCACAGTCTCTGTACTACATACGCTGTTATATAAGGCCAATCTTCCACGTTTATTATTCTAAAGTTAAATTAGAGTTTAGTTTTATTTTTATACTTTTACGTTAGACCCCAAGTGGCGGGTCAGTGTATTCCGAAGTACGGAAGTTATTGTATATAGAGAAAAATAAAGGGTTTTGTATACCCTTCGTCTGTATCCTGTCTACTTACCACAATTAGTGAACATAGCTTTAGTAAGCTCTCTGTTCCGAGTCAGGTCCTTGTATGTTCCCGAAGAAGGTTAAGAAGGAACATTGACCCTGATAGTGGCGCCCAACGAAGAAGAATAACCATGGCCGAGTTTCAAGAAGTGTGCAAACGGCTCAGAATCCAGAAATGCCAGCTGCCGCCCTGGAAGGATTGGTTACATCGTCCAGACCATGCGCTTCGATGAAACCAGAAGCAACATTTAATGGAAACTCACCGGTAACCAGTTTTTTGGAAAAATTGGATGACCACTTCATGCTCTACCCCGTGCACGAGTTTCAAAAAGTTACCTTAGCTACCAGCGCTTTGAGGGGCCAAGCGCTTAACTGGTTCAAATGTATAGGCAGAAGTCTCTTGGGTCAAGCAGGAAGTCCCACCTATACTTACGAAAAATTTCAAGACTGCCCTACTAAAAGCCTTCCCTGTTGTAAGGGATCGTGCGAAATTAATTAGAAACGGAACTTTTCAGTATATATCAACAAAGAATCGAAAACCTCTCGAGCTTTATTTTAAGAAAAATTCACGTTTTCAAACTCTTGTATGGAAACCGTCCGGATCCTGAAATAATTCAAGTGATTTTGCCGAGGTTACTGCCCCAAGTGCAAGACTTTATTGAATTAAGAAATCCGACTACACTGGAAAAGTTATTTGAGCTAGCAATCCAGTTTGAAAGTAGAAGAACGGCGGACGTCGAAAGAAGACGCCAATATCAACAGCGAAACCAATTTGGTACGCCAAGACTACAGCAAACTCAAGCACACGGCTACGGAGAAAAAAAGCGAATCAGTGGGCAAGGAAACCCGAGCATTCAAAAACAGCCGGCGAACGTCGACAGTTCAATAGCAACCCAGGAAAAAAGTCTCAAGGCCAGGGGAAAAAAAGAAGGAAAGCACGGAAAGGAAAAAAATAATTTAAACTAAAACGGATTTCTGCTGACGAGAGGGTGCGGAAATCCGAAGGCCACGAAAACCCCTCTTCCTACAAGTTAAATACAGTAATGGTGAAAAATTTGACTCTTCCGAAGATTGAAGTCTTGGTGAATAATATCCCAGCCACCGCACTCCTGGATACCGGCGCGCAGTGTTCCTGTGTGGCAGAAGAGTTTTTTAGGAAGTATTTTCGCAAATACCGCATATATAATGCGGATAATACGACAGTGTTAGCGGCGCAAGGAGAAAAATGTAAGTGCGTAGGTAAAGTACCTTTGTATATCCGTATCAAGGACGAACAAGTAAAGGTGATGTTTTTTATAGTAAAGAATCTGCAAGCACATTTAATTTTAGGAATAGATTTTCTTTCAGAAGCACAAGCTACGCTGGATTTTAATGAAGCGTCCCTTAAGCTGACAATGAAACCAGTTCGTACAGAAAACGCTGAACCGCCGATGTTAAAACTTGACCACCTGCCTAATGACGAGCAAGAAGAATCCGACAAGTGGTAAGTGAATTTGCTTCGTTATTTAGTGATATTCCAGGATTTACTCAGGTTACTAACCATAGTATTGACACCGGAGATGCAATGCCAGTTCGTCCAAAAACCATACCGGTATGATAAGAATAAGGAAAAAAAATTATAGAATGGCATATTACCGATATGCTACGTAAAAAGATCATAACGCCCATCTCAAGTAGTTATGCTAGCCCGGTGGTTTTATGTAAGAAAAATAATGACTATCCTTTGGAGCATCCAAAAAAGTGGAGATTCGCTATTGATTACCGTAAATTAAATTCCATAACTAAATATCCGGTATATCCGTTACCGATCATAGAAGAAATTTAAGAAATTTAAGGAACATAAAATCAACCAAATTTATGACGACTTTAGACTTAACGACTGGTTATTTTCAAATAGGGGTGAGGCCTGAGGACGTGCCTAAGACTGCTTTTTATAACCAAGTCTGGCACTTATGCATTTTTGCGTATGCCGTTTGGCCTTTCAGGGGCCCCGGCAACATTTCAGCGATGCATGGACATTGTGTTAAGACCTGTTCTTGGAAAGTCCACATTTATCTATTTAGACGATATCATTATTATACTAGTGATAATCTCGACCAACATGTACAGGATTTAAGACAGGTGTTTTCTTTATTAAATGAGGCCGGTCTAAAAGTTAATGTCGAAAAGTGCAAATTTGCAGCCCCTGAATTAAAATATTTAGGTTACAAAATATCTCAAAAAGGGATCGAGACAGATGAATCAAAAATAATCGCTGTACAAAAGTATCCGACTCCAAACACGGCAAAGAAGCTCTCTTCTTTTCTAGGACTTTGTTCATATTATAGGTCCTTTATAAAAGATTTTGCGGCTATCGCTGAGCCATTGTTAAAATTAAAAAGGAAAAAAGGCAAGATTCTCGTGGACGGCCGAAGCCAATAGTGCTTTCGAAAAATTAAAACAAGCATTAACGCAAGCCCCTGTGTTGAAATTTCCTGAAAAGGATGAGAATTTAGAAATTTCAGCGGATGCTTCGGATTATGCGGTAGGAGCGGTACTTTCGCAAAATCAGCAGCCCGTGGCATTTTTTAGCCGAACTTTAAATCAAACACAAAGAAACTATTCCGCGACCGAGAGAGAGAGGCACTTGCAGTTCTGTTAGCAGTGCAAAAGTTCCGAGTCTATTTTGGAAAGGCGCCGATAACAGTGTACTCTGATCATGCGGCGGCGGTAACTAGATTGTACTCAGGGAAAAATTTTTATCCCCAAGGTTAATAAGATGGGCACTCAAGCTGCAAGAATATAATCTGGTAATCAAGCATACCCCCGGAAAGGAAAATATCGTAGCAGATGCCCTATCAAGAATTAAAATAGACGAACAAGGTAATACCGTAAAGGTGGTGGCAATGCTTACAGCATGTACAATAAATTCCCGAGAAACTGTAATAACCGAACTGGGTAAGGATCCTGAGTTTGGAAGCATTTATGAGTATTTGAAGGATCCTGAAAATTTTAGCCACCAAGATATTGTGGCGATAAGAAATAGGGCGGCCCATTACGAACTAATAGATGGTCTATTATTTTATACAAAAAAACTACGAATTCCAACAACGAATTTCGACCTGTTATCCCAGCTAGTCTTAGATTAAATATCCTGCAGGAGCTCCATGACAGCCCTTTAGCTTCTCATGCTGGTATTCGAAAAACTATCCAACGCGTACGCGAGGCAGTCTACTTTCCTGAACTGCAAAAGTTAACAAGGGCGTATGTCCAGTCCTGCCCAACATGTCAAGCAGTTAAATTATATTAATTTCCGCCCGGCCGGGTTTCTAAATAGTATTAAATCCGAATTTCCAAATGAAATAATTGGCATCGATTTATTGGGCCCTTTCCCAAAAAGTCAGTTAAATAAAAGTCGCTATCTCCTTGTTATGGTTGATCATTTTAGTAAATGGACCGAAATTGTTCCCTTAAAACGAGCCTCCGCGAAATTAGTTACTGATTCTATTTTAAATAAATATATTTTAAAATACGGGGCGCCCCTAAAAGTTATATCGGATAATGGTCCTCAATTTGTAAGTAATATATTTGAAGACATGTGCCAAAAACTGGGCATACGTCATTTAAAAATGGTCCCGTATCGGCCGCAATCAAATATAGCGGAACGGGTCAATAGAAATATAGTGAAAATTATCCGTAGTTATGTTAAAAATTTTCATAAAAGCTGGGATAACTATGTCAATGAATTTGCTTTCGCCCTTAGGACCGCAAAACATGATACAACGGGCAAAACTCCTGCTGAGTTATTTCTAGGCAGAAAGATTATAACACCGTTAGATAAATTATTTTATGTGCAACAAAGAGCCCCAGAATTTAAAATGGGTGATATAGAAAAACTAATAAAAGAAGCAAAAAAGAATACGGAAGTAGCACAAAGAAAACAGAAGCTCTATTATGATTTGAAACGACGGGGAGTAACTTATAAAGTAGGGGATGAAGTTTTAAAAATTAAGCATTCACTTTCTTCAGCACCAGAAGAAGATAAAACTGCCAAATTTTTTCCACGATTTGAAGGACCATATGTTATAGAAAAAATAACTCACGCTGTAGTAGTGTTAAAAGCCAGAAATGGTGAAACCTGTTCCGCAAACATTGATCAAATCAAGCCCTACTTCGATCGTAATAAAATGCAAATATTTTCAGATCTTTTGCAGGATCCGGCACGGCAGACACCGCAGGCACAAGCTCCAGAGGTGGAAAAACGACAAGTACAAGGGCAAGCCAATAAGAGGCAGGAGCAAGTGAAAAGAAAATTGCCCCGCGGAAAAATTGAAGGTAACAAGAAAAAGAAGCCGTTCCACCGTCCAGAAAAGAGAGTTCACGAACACCCCCAGAATGAAGAAGGGAGAAGGACGACGTATGTGAAGAGAACCAGGAGAAATGACGGCAACTATAACCCGGCTCTAAAACGGAAGATC